AAAAAAATCAATAAAACGATGTAATTTTGAGACAGAATAATGAAATGAAAAAAAAGGAGACAAAGACATCGAGGGAGAATTATTTCAACAGAAAGAAAAGTGACCACATAGAACCTAACCCATAGAATGTAGAGAACGAATTAAAACAAAGACAAAAAGTAGGAAAAAACACTTACTGTAGAAGAGAAGCTGTTGAAGGACGATGTGCTTAATGATTGACACACAGTGCTGCTGCTGCTTTTATATACAGCATCACATGATTTATATACAGCATCATGTGATTTATATACAGCATCATGTGATTTATATACAACTAAACATGATTTAGAGGAAAATGAACATTCATGGAAAGGACATGTGTCTACCTGGTTTTAGAAAGCAGGGTTTTATTTTAGTTTCCATTTGGATCACTGACTTAATGGAGTTAAGCAAATAACTAAACTTAGACTTTTCAATTCCTTTAATTTTGAGAGAAAGCTACAGGCAAGCTAAAAGCTCTATAAACAAACCAACATAAAAATGTTGTAGTTGCTGACAGTCAGAAAAGAGCATGAACCTTACAGCTGAAAAAATTGACAAGACAACACTGACCCATTGCTCATTTACATGTACTGTTATATTCAGTCACAATGCGTCGGCACCTTAAAAAGTGCAACTGATGTAACCGGTTTGAGTGTCTTATCTTGGATGTAATCTTAAATTTGTCTTCAACAACAACAACAACAAAAAAATGCTTCATTACTGAGGAGACATTAACAAATCTGCAGATAGGCAGCCTGTTAACGAGCTCAGCCTGTTAACACTCATTTCCCATCAGCCATCATTGCCATGATTGCAGTGTCGAGCAGGTCATCTCAGATCAGCTGTAAATCATCAGCTAATTGATGACGATGATGGTGACAGCAGCAGCAGTTCTGTGAGTGGAGTGTTCCCTCAGATTAAGGGTCTTCATGTTTTATTACATCAGCACACATTGCACATTTTTCATGCATCTTAAAATGTACGTCTCTCATAATTTAATTCCTAATTCAGATTTCAGTTGTGATGTCACATCCTGTGTTGTTAATTGACTCGTCTGTTTTGTCAGGAGTAGATTAATCTCACTGTACACTCCAGGAAACACAGAAACCATCTGGACAAACTAATGTGATTTAAAACACAGTTCTGTCTACGTGAGTGCGTGTGTGTGTGTTTGTATAGGGGATGAAACCCACTTTTTGATTTTCTGGGGGGCACTGAGATGATGGGTCGGTCCCCGTCTTGGGGTCTCTGAAACCCTGTCAGAACCCAAAATGCCCCCAGGGGTCGGAGAGTCAGCATGGGGTAGCCCACGTCAACCAGAGACTCCAATCCCTCTCTAGCCCCAATCATCGGCCCAAAGACACCTCCACGGTTCCCAGCCTCCCCAGGGGAGTATGAGATCCCGCCTGACATCGGCACCACCACATTGCTGAAATGAGTGTCCCCTCCCTCCTCAGCCAAGAAACTCCCAGTCAGATCTCCCAGTTCCTCTCTTTCCAAGTCGTTCTCATGTATCTCCGCCACTATTATTCTGCTGACTCTCTTATTCTGATCAAGCTCCACCAGGGCCCTCCCCCCTCCCATGTTAGGGCTATGAGAAGAGCTTTGGAACCTGCTAGTGATAGTAGGGAGCACTGGACTAAGTTGTCCCTCCAGAGCTCTCTCCCCACCCATGTTAGGGTAGAGAGGAGGCCTTGGGGTTGGTTAAGATCAGTAGAGAGTGCAGGGTCAGGGTTCATCAACCGACCAGAAACCGAGCCCGGAGGCAGTCTAGGTTCAGGGGTTGGGCCCTGGAGTTGGTTAGGTTTAGAGTGAGAGGATCGGTTGGAATTAGGAGTCTGATGTTGGAGTTGGTTGGGGTAAGGGTGAGTGGATTGGACAGGTGTTAAGCCAGAGGAACAACCGCCAACAGACCCTGGGGGGCAACCAAGTGGAATGTATGGTAGGGGGTCGACCGTCGACCCACTAGACATATGTCGGCTCTTGGAGGAGAACCGTCGGGGGTTAGTCTCTGTTTGTTGAGACTGAATAGCCCCCATATGGCTTCTCCCCCCCATTTGTGTCCCAGGGTCGACCAGTCCTCCTCCCTCTCGGTAGGATCCAGACAGTTCTCCACCCTATCCTCTCCCAGCGGGACCTGTGAGTTTGTTCTTATCAGTTCTGTGAAGTTTATTATTGATGCATCTGCTAGCCGATGCTTATACCTTACTTTTCCATAGGCAATTGCTTTTTCCATTGCAACTTGGTTAAAAGTAGGTAGATTTTCTGTTCCAATTGCTATGACTTCATCATAATGATTTTTTAGAATTAGCATGTTGGTTTGCATCCACTGTTCAGTGTTCAACTTCACTTTTTCACGGGTTTCCTCGCTGTGAGAGGAGGGCTTGATAAATGATATCAGTCTGTCTGATCATCCCCCCAGGAAACTCCCCAGTCTGCTGGAACCGCTCCACCACTGCTGCATGATGGACAGATTGTAAAATTTTTATATTGTGTTGTTCAAATCAAAATTAAGGAATCAAAACCACAAATTGTTTTTGATTTTTTTTTCTGATTAATCCTTGTATTTTTCAGAAAGGAGAGACTCCAACACTAGTCAATCAATGTTAATGTTTTTGATATGTGACATTTTATTCTGGACATAATGCCAGTTTTACATTTAAAAAAGAGAAGCCATACTAAGACAATGCAGATCAATCAATGGATCCTAAAAGTCACTGCACCCTTCACACAACATGGCAAATCCACTCTTCAGGTTATATGCTAGCTCAGCTAATGCTGTGGGCTACTATATTGTAGTTCACATATACAACATGGCAAGATTCACTTCAAAGGTTTTGTTTAAGGGGCCAGAATCTCCTTGTTAAAGGTTTTTGGTTCTCTATCACCTTTTCGGCAAGAAAGTGCTGTAGTGCTTTTGTGTTTTGTGTCCAGTATTCTCTCCCACAAAAAAGGATCAAGTAATTCTAAAAATGTAGGACTTCTTGTCCTTAAAACATTATAATTAAAATTCACAAACAAGCAAAAAGTAAAAAAAAACTCCTGATGTTTCACCACACTGTGGCTTCTTCAGAGGAGTAAAAGACTGAAAACTGGGTACTATATATAGAGAGAGAGACATGCAACGAGGGGATGGGAGAACTAATCTCCAGCAGCTGATTTCCCTTAATCAAGCCACCTGGTCCTAATTGGCACATGGCCATGATATAAGACTGAATGGTTCTGATGTTCCATTTGATGTCTGTAGTTGTAAGAGAGAGCATTGTAGGAGAGGGCACTGCAGCACTGGCAGGTTAGGTTTTAGAAATAGGATTTTTAATTTCAACCTTTTGGCCGAGATAAGGCATGGGCTGCAGCCCCTTGGTGTTTAGTCCCTTTCTCCTTTTAAGTTTTTATTACACCTTAGACGGTGTATGTTTTGCAGTCCGGGTTACCATCACTGGTACCTGGGCTTTTAACTCAACAACTTATTTTAGGTCTCCATAATTTAATTTGGAATAAGACTATTCCATGCTGAGTTTGGACAATTATAGACCCCATGGATTTAACTCTAGTTCTTGAAATTTCATCTGTCTTTCCCTGTATCATTTTTCACTGTTTTTAAATAAAAGTTGTTTTTAATCAGACAACATTTACGTAGGTTTTTAAACATGATTCATTTCAAGTCAAACTCAAATACACATTTTTTTTAGTAAAGCTTTTAACGTGTTGTAGTGTTTGTTCTCTAGGGTTCATTTAATCCATGGGTTATAAAAAGTATTTAGTTTCTGTGTCCATTTTTTCTCAGTGAAAAGTCTCTATCCCTCCGACCAATTCTGTCTTGTTTCCAGACCTGAAATAAATGGATTTGAAACATCATTTTAGCTGTTTCTGGTGTCCAATGAGCTGGATCATGTGAGTGGGCTTTAAAAACATTGTCATCCAGCAAATTGAGTGTTCTATAGGTCTTTCTGATGTGGCTGTTTGTTTCCTCTATGAGTGATTGTACTGTTGGTGGGAGTTATTTAGAGAAATGTATCTGAGGGAAGATGATTTGTGCATTTGGAAACACTTTCCATGCCATTGCCATCAGTTGTTGTAGTTGTTTTTTTGATGGTATCCTTCATCTTCTCTTTGACAATTATCCATTGAATATTGTCAGGTAGTGTTTTGAAGTCCTCGTCTGGGAGTGCTGGAAAACTTGTCAGGTGATTTGTGATGTAATCATTAACTATTTCCATGACACCCGATTACGCCAATCGG